CCGTCAGCACCACGGTAGTTCAGCTGGCTGTGCAGTCAAAGGAGGAAATGTGACGTCCACCAAAACACTCATCAGAAGAGAAAGTTCTAAACCTTCCCAAGGCTTACGACAATGCAAGGAAAAAGCCTCTAATGACATGAATAAACAGTAAAACAAAACCAGTGTTACGAGTCAAATGAGTATCCTCAGCCATGACTGAATCTTATAGGCCTCAATGTGGGTACTACTTGGAAAGTCTCCAGCTGTTTTCTTTAGTGGTCTGAAAAACTGAAAGTACTTGCCTTTGACAGGGCCTTGTAGCTGCCCTCACTACCAGCTTCCAATACTCTCCAGGAAGTGACAACTCGTTTTCAGTTGGATTCATGGATGCCAATTCTAAGACCACATTTACTTCCTAGCCTTTTGCAGGTAGCTGTGGTCATCTGACAAGGTCCTGGCCAAGGGATATAAGCTCAAGGTCATGTGCAACTTTCAAAGAGAGTCCATCAGGGATGGGAGGTCAGCCACCTTACTCCCTCCTCCTGCTTGCTGGCTGACATGAGAACATAAACATGAGGGTTGTCTTGGACCACAAGCTCAGGGTATACAGCAACACAGCTAGGTCCCTGGGTGGCCCACCTCACTTACAAGCCAGAGAAATAAACTTCAATCCTATTTAAGCTCATTTTATTTGGGGATATGTGTCGCACAGAGCACAGCCTAATCCTAACTGACAGGTATCTAATCCTGGAAACAGGTACCTGCATGGGGTGTGCTTAATCTTCTATCTGTGCACACCATCACCAGGGACTGAAGACGCAGCCCGACAAGGAGGATATGGACAGCGGCAGTTGGCAAGGACTCGGGTCCCAGAGGCTCACTGGCAACTGCAGTCAGGCAGTGACCAGCAAAGCCTGTGATCAAGCCTGGGCCTCTGGGCCTTTGGCGGTAGACCAGGTGTCTGTCCCAAGCTGCTGCTGCACACCATCAGCACCATCACATGGAACGGTTCTGAGAAATCAGAATGTCCACATTTGTCAGATCTTCTTGACTGTCTTAGCAAAGTCCAACAAAAGACAAACGGCCTCCTTTTGTGCCATGGTATAGCGCACATGGGAGAAGTAGCTCCCAGGCTCTACAGGGAAACTACTACTGCGATTTACCATACATCTCAAAATAACTAGAGCTGAAGAGTCGGAAGGCTCCTTACACTCAGAACGATGATATCTGAGGAGGTGGAAGATAATTCCCCTGATTTGATCATTGTACATTAACTACATGTATCGAATGATAATACTGTGCCCCATAAAGGAGTACAAATATTATTTGTCAATGATTTAAAACTAGAGCTAACCAGCTTCAAGAAGGTAGCAAAGAAAACAGATTCAATAAGAAAGCCACCCTGCAGACTACCGGTAATTGAAATTGGGGCCACGGCTGCACCTGCAGCCCAGCAGGAGATGAGACAGGGACTGCACTGCACAGAGCTGTGCAGTCCTTGGGGAAGGCCCCTGACCTTGCACCCAGGGCCACTGCTCCCCTCAGCACAAGGGGAGGGGGTGGCAGAGCACTGAGGCCCCTCTAAGACGGGAGTTTTGAGGCAGAAACATTCTGTCTAGCCAAGATCTCAGAGGCAAACAGACCAGCGGTCGAGGGACTTTTCGACAGACTGATGTGACCACAGACACCATAAGGCTGGTGATAAAAAGCTGGACTGTGCAGGCCCCAAACCCTTCCAGAAAAGCAAGTGTCAGAAGTCCATCCTCTCTAGCATCCGTCTCAGATGTGACACAGGGAAGACGCGCCCCAAAGGCAAAGCCAAAGGATACCAGGCCAGAAAGCTCTTCTTGGAGGGCAGAACCAGGGCTGCCCGAAAGGTGACCAGGAACCCTGCAGAGGGCCCCCCAGGATCCACGGTCCTCCTTTCCACCAGGGCAGCACCACAGTACACGTGAGTGCTGGGGACAGAGGATGTGTCTGTCTTAACACACAAACTGCCAGACCTCCATAAGCCATGTCCAACCCTGAGAGACTGTCCATGCCCAGGTCTTCTCTGACCAGAAGAAAGTCAGCCAGTGGGAAACCAGGGTGAAGGGGCCTTGCTTGAAAAAGGGTGAGTTTTCTGCGATGGGGAAGACAGACGCACGTGGGCATTTGGGAGGGTAGCAGAAATTATTAGTCATTCTACATAACTGCCCGCATCCTTCAGGATTTGAGCTCTCAAATTGAGCAAAAACAAGTCCCCCTTTTTATATTGGGGGTGGGGACAAAAAATAAATGTAAAAAACTTTTTAATAAAGAGCTATGTCTAATTTCAACCTCACTTCAGGAAAGAGTAGCTGGATCGCCACAGAGTGGTAAATATGAAGAGAGAACTAGGAATTGAGAGGCAGGCACTTGGCACAGCAGTGGAGCCACTGGCGAGAGTGCCTGGTCCAAGCCTGGCTCAGCTCTCCACTCCAGCCTCCTGCAAATGCACAGCCTGAGAACCAGCAGGTTGTGGCCAAGTAGTTGGGTCCCAGCCCCTCTCCTAGGAGGCCTGGATTGAGTTCCCTGCTCCTGGCTTCTGTCTAGCCCAGCCCCAACCATTATGGGTATTTGGAAAATAATGGATAAGGGAGCTTTCTGCCTTATCTCTGCCTCTTTAATTAATTAAATATAAATTTAAAAATAGGAATTCAATGAACATGGGCCATGGTTTTGAAAATTCTTCTTGTCTGTTAGTCCATTAAAAAAAAAACCAACATTTTTTTTAAATAAATATGCAGAAACTACACAATTCCAGGTACAGTAAGCCCTGCTTCCTGGCACTCGAAGCACTGGTGTGATGCAACCATTTGACTGTGAAAGACCACGAAGCATGAAAAGATGACGCGTGGAACTGGTGGCCTTGTGTGGAACTCTAACAGCAGTGTCTAGAAGAGAAGTCTTCTCGGGTACATTAGCTGTTAGTAACACCAACAGCAGACTGCTTCTGTAAGGAGAGTGCACACAGGATCAAATGTGATATAAGCATTAGAAACAGCTGGGGGTTTATTCTCGGAATGTGACCATCCGTGTATTTCATTTATCTACCTCACGTTCTCTTTGTACAACATTGTGGGTCCTGACACCAAGGTGACTTTCCCCAAAGACTTTCCTCTAAAAATGCATGCTGCCCTCCAGGCGTGTCTTGGGTGAGTGACTTCACCTCCGTGTTAGGAAGGGACCCAAGGGGAGAGTGGGAGAAGGGCTCCCATGGAAAGTCAGGGCCAGCACCAACTGCTAACTCAGAACCCGCTGTGCACCAAGCACAGAGATGAATAATAATCAAGCCCACTTCACTCTCTGACAAGAAGAGACAAAGAGGAGATTCCTAAATGCCTTTTGTCAGAATAAAGTCTCAATCCTACAGAAAGGCCCATCCTGGTCAGTGCCAAGCTCAGCTTACACAGCTTCAATTTGTAGCTCTCACAGACCCAAGGTGTTTAAAGCAGCATTACTGTTTTTAAGTTCAATACTTTTTAAACTCATTTATATTCAAGGGTATGAAAGCAGTGCATTGACACAGGCTGGACAGTGTGCAATGCAGCCCAAGCATCTGACGACACCCGGGAGCCTGCCCCCCTCCCAGCCCTGGCAGGACACTTGTCACTCTCTCAGCCAGGCACCACCCACAGCCCAGGCACAGTGACCAAACTTCCAGTGCTTCGTGGTCACCCTGATAGCGACTGTTTCTCACGACTGTCCACACAAACCGTGAAAATGGTCTGGGAGTGCCCAGAGTTCTGACCTTCCAAAACCTTTCGTGAAATGTCACATCTGACTTTCTGCACAGGAACTATAATTACCGTGAGCTGCCCCTTCTGTCTGACCGCGCCTTCGTTCAGGGGACAGAGGATTATCACAGCTGTTCCATCTGCAGGAACAGGTTTTTTCCTTCTCTACTGGGGAATGGCAAGTTGGGGAGAGGGAGGGAGCGGGAGAAGTAGGGACCCGGGTGGGAGGAGAAGTTCCTGTGACAACAGGAATTATGAACATGGCTGTGGTCCCCTTCACCACCGTCCTCTCTGCTAATTCTACACAAGCGCTGTTTCTATTTCCCATTCACATACCAGAACTGCCACTCCCATGCCAGGTGTGCGAGGCAAGAAAGTACTAACGTTATCTCGGCCTTTTATACTAACATGCTATCAAATTCTAGAAATCATCATTAAGGTCAAAGGCTAAAAGACTTCCATACATTAATTTGTACATTCTGTCTAATCATGCAGACTCATGGGAAAATACTTCAGAAACTGTGAATCCAGTTATTTTGGCAACTTCTGTCTTTAAATTTTGTTCTCCCTTTGAGAGACGATGCTTTCCTTATTCCCTCTCTGTATAACCCAACTTAAACTAAAATATGTAATATTCTTACTAATTAGAGAATTAAACTTCGTCTTTTTTTATGGTTAACCTTTAATCCAAATCCACCAGACAGAAGAAATAAAAAGGAAAACTTGTAATCAGAGTAAATCTCAAACATTGTACTGGGATGACAAAGTGCTTAAGAAAGGTATGGGCTAGGGACACGTCAAAACCCAAAGTTCCAGCTTACTCTATTAACACACCCATGTATCATTCAAATTTGCTTTTCTAATGAGGCTCCTGGGAAAACATTCTAAATTAAGCGTTCAGCAATTGTTGCAACAGCACAAAAAGTAAAGGATAACCAGAGTAACGATGCTACCCCTTAAATTTATTTTTCCAGAATGTTCTTTTTCCTAAAGACAGTCTGAAAGGTCTGGTTAAATCAAAAAGCAAGACTCAAGGCAAAATACTTCCTGTTTGGTAAAACAGAAATCTGTGATGAAAAACTTGACTTAACTTCTCTTCCTAATGTTTTAACTCGGCAAGGACAGGAGAATTATACAAACAGGTGTGTTAAAGTATATTATCCTACACTCCTACCCCTCTACCTACCCCCAACTGCTTAGAGAGAAGAATCAGTATAACAAAGTTCTCTGAGCAGGTGCCTCAGAGGTCCGATCAGAACTCACCCGTCCAGGAGACTCATTGTCGTGGGGGTCACTTCCGCAAACAGAATTGTTTTTCCAAGTTGCCGAGTCTGCAGATTTTGTCGATAGATCTCAAAGTCAAAATTTTCTGATGAGAAGGCCTCCATATCAGTGACCACGGGTATAGAAGACGGGGTTATTTCCATGTCAGATGTGTAGGATGAAACGAATTTAAGGGACAGTTTGCTGGACTTGATTACTCCTTCAGGATCCATGTGCCTCTCCAGCCACTTCATCAGGGGAGCCCAGATTTCCTGTGTTGTCAATGAAAAGGCTGTAGGTTAGCATTTCATTAGGTGACGGTAGCTTTCTCTTAAAATGTCATTTCCTAATTCATGAGCCAACAAAAGCTCAATTAACATAATCTGTACACCTTAACTATTACACAACGTGGTAATAAACATTCTAGGTGCTATGGTCTGAATGTCTGTCCTCCAGAATTCGTGCACTGGAAACTTAAATCACCAAAGTCCTTTGTTAATGGTATTTGGGTGGTGACTGGGTCATGGGGACTCTGCCCTCATGAACAGATTAGGCCATTCATGGATTAACGGATTGATGGGTTATTGAACAAGTGGGTTCCTTATTACAAGTAGATCTGTTACAAAAGCCAGTTTAGGGGAAGGTGCTGTGTGTGGCCCAGCAGGTTAGGCCACCATGGGTAACGCTGGCATCCCATATCAGAGTGTTACTTCAAGTTCCGGCTGCTCTGCTCTGATCCAGCTCCTTGCTAATGCACCTAGGAAGGCAGCAGATGATGGCTCAAGTACTTAGGCCCCTGTCACCCGTGTGGGAGACCTGGAGAGAGTGCTGCCTCCTAGGAAAGCAGCCATCTGGGAAATAAACCAGTGAATAGACAATCTCGATCTCTCTCCTTCCCTCCCTCTCCTTCCCTCCGTGTGTGTGTGTGTGTGTGTGTGTGTATGGTTGTGTGTCACTCTGATTTTCAAATGGTAATTTAATTAATTAATTTTTTTAAAAAGCCAGGGGGGCAGTGCTGTGGTGTAGCAGGTTAAGCCTTTGCCTACGGCACCAGCATCCCATATAGGTGCCAGTTTGTGTCCTGGCTGCTCCCCTTCCAAGCCAGCTCCCTGCTAATGGCCTGGGAAAGCAGTGGAGGACGGCCCAAGTACTTGGGGCCCTGCACCCATGTGGGAGATCTGGAAGAAGCTCCTGGCTCCTGAATTCAGACTGGCCCAGCTCCAGCCATTATGGCCATTTGAAGAGTAAAACAGCAGGTGGAAGCCCTCAATCTCAATCAATCAATCTCTCCCTATCCCTCCCTCCCTCCCTCCCTCCCTCTGTCTATAACTCTGCCTCTCAAATAAATAAAAATTCAAAAAATCTTAAAAAAAAAAAAAGCCAGCCTGGCCTTCTCTCCCAGGTCCCCTTGCACGCGACAACCTGTGTGGCCGCAGGACTCTGCAGAGAGCCCCCAGTAGCAAGAAGGCCTCTTGACCTTGAAGTTCTCAGCCTTCACAACTCTAAGAAGCAAATTTCCTTTCTTTAGAAATTATCCCATCTCAGGCATGCAGCAATTGCAAAAGAAAATGGACGGTGAAAAGTATGCTTGCACTATAAAACTAAACTGCAGAATCCAGGATCCAAGGACATGTGTTCTGTTCATTACTCCCCATCTTCTGGGACCTTCTAAATTCACAAAAAGCTCCCTCTGGCTCCAGTGTGCCAAAGTGATTCTCAGGTTCTCTGCGCACATTGCAAGAAACGTCTACGGCACTACACTTCCACCCCAATTCATCATCCCACCTATGAGAAAAACAACACCCATCAGGTGGAAGAAGCCACAGAACAAAGCACGAAGACACCGCCGCATCTGACCTCTGCCCGCAGAGGACCTGCACCTCCTCTCAGAAACACGCTGGGCACTGGTGCCCAGCAAGGGAGAAGTGAATTTTCACACACACAGAAAATAACGGGGGACCCCACAGCTGCTTTGCTTGCCCCAAATGCGGTCCAGGGAGGAGATAGAAGGCAGAACCCAGGGGAGATTTTGCACAACCCAGACACAGTGCTTCTGCCCCCAAACCACAAAAAAGAGTCTTGGAGCTGGAGGAGGCTGCCGGTGCCCCCGAGCCCCAGGGTCCTCCCTTGGGCTGGCCCAGCAGGAACCGGGGGTTCAGGGGAGCCCTGCACAGGCAGAACCATGCTCCAGGGCCATCCTCCTGCAAATGGCAGGCCCTTTTTCTTTTTTTTTTTTTTTTTTTTTTTTTTGACAGGCAGAGTGGACAGTGAGAGAGAGAGAGACAGAGAGAAAGGTCTTCCTTTGCTGTTGGTTCACCCTCCAATGGCCGCCACAGCCAGCGCGCTGCGGCCGGCGCACCGCACTGATCCGATGGCAGGAGCCAGGTGCTTCTCCTGGTCTCCCATGGGGTGCAGGGCCCAAGCACTTGGGCCATCCTCCACTGCACTCCCTGGCCACAGCAGAGAGCTGGCCTGGAAGAGGGGCAACCGGGACAGAATCCGGCGCCCCGACCGGGACTAGAACCCGGTGTGCCGGCGCCGCAAGGCGGAGGATTAGCCTAGTGAGCCGTGGCGCCGGCCATGGCAGGCCTTTCGAAACAAAAACACCTCCCTCCCTTTCCCCATTAATATTAGAGTATGCCACAAAGCTCCCCAAAGCTACAGAAAAGCAGCATCAAGGATGAAATTTAATTCAACTGGGGTCAGAATTTGCAGTGCAGAGGGCTAAACCTCCACCTGCAATGCCAGCATCCAATAGGAGCATCGGTTCAAGTTCCGCCTGTTCTACTTCCGATCCCGCTCCCTGCTAATGAATCTGGGAAAGCAGCAGAGATGGCTCAAGCGCTTAGGCCAATGCCACCCACGTGGAAGACCGGGATGAAGCTCCTGGCCTCAGCCCTGGCCGTGGTAGTCATCTGGGTAGGGAACCAGCAGATGGAAGATCTCCCTCTGTCTCCCCTTCTCTCTGTAACTCTGCCTTTCAAATAAATAAATTCATCTTTTTGGAAATTTTTGAAGTACTGGTGCTGTGGTATAGCAGGCTGAGCTTCAGCCTGTGGCGCTGGCATCTCATATGCCAACCGGCATCGGCAGGTTCATGTCCCGGCGGCTCCTCTTCCCATCCAGCGCTCTGCTGTGGCCTGGGAAAGCAGCATCAGATGGCCCGAGTGCTTGGGCCCCTGCACCCGCATGGGAGACAGAAAAAGCTCCTGGCTCCTGTCTTTGGATTGGCCCAGCTCTGGCCATTTGGCCATCTGGCCATTTGAGGAGTGAACCAGCAAGTGGAAGACCTCTCTGTCTCTCCACCCCTCCGTCTGTTACTCTGCCTCTCAAATAAATAAATAAAATCTTTAAAAAAATTTTTTGAAAGGTATGTGTACATATCCATGGAAAAACGCACAAACACAGATCTTCCATGTGCTGGTTCCATTTGTCAGGGTTGGGCCAGGCCAAAGCAGGAACCTAGAACTCCATCTGTGTCTCCCACGTGGGTGGCAGGGGCCCAAGCACTCGTGCCATCGCCAGCTGCCTCCTGGCACGTGCGTCATCAGGAAGCTGCATCGGAAGCAGAGCAGCCAGGACTTGAACCAGGAGCTCCAAAATGGGAAAGTCGGTGTCCCACGCAGTGACTCAGCCGCTGCACCTGACGTCCACCTCAGCAAGCCTTCTGTTTTCACCCGTGTCATTACCTTATTAATTTTACCCTCTCACCTGGCTTTAAATCACCCACAGAGTCTGACAACTACCAAGGCACCTCACTCACACATCCACCACCTATTTGGCACTCCTGATGACTTCCTCACCGGGAACGGCCCACTCAGCCCTCCTCTCCAGCGCCACTCCTCCCACAGTGCTCGTCCAGCTGTCTAGGCCACGAAGCTCTGACTCACTGTTGACCCCACAGCTCCTCTAACATCCCAGCTCCGACCTTAGCGACTCTCCTGGCCACTTCTTCAGTCCTTTCATGCTGCATCTGCTGTCCTGCTGGGCCGGCCATCAGTACCTCACTCCTAGGTAGCTTAAGGGATTTTTCTGACCAGTCCCTCTGCTTCCAGTTGTCCGCTCAACACGGCAGCCAGAGTGGGAGCTATCCTGCTGTGATGGAGTCAGGTCTTCCCACCCCTTCCTCAAACCCTCAAGGGCTCCCCATTGCCCCCGAGTGGAAGCCCTCATCCAGGCTGTGGCTAATGAGGTCCCCCTCCCCTGCAATGGCCTCACACCCTTGCTCCTCCCCAGCTCCCTCTGATGTCTCTGCTGTTGCCTGAGCCCGCTCACTTCCCCCTTGGAATCTCTGCACTTGGCCTTCTCTGGAACCCCTATATATAAAATAAGTATAAATGGCATAATTATGTCATCATTTAATAGCACCTTCCTCACTTCCTGCAGGTATTTCTTGGTAAGACCTTTGTCTGCCTGACCTGAAGCTGTTTGGCTAAAATAGTTTGCCTCTCTTTTTTAAGATTTTTAAGTTTTTAAAATTTGCTTGAAAGGCAAGGGGATAGAGGACAGAAAAAGCGAGTGAGCTCCCTTCTGCTGTTCACTCCCCAGATATCTATAACAGCTGGGGCTGGACCAGACTGAAGCCAGGAGCCTGAAACTCAATGTAACATGCAGGTATCAGGGACCCAACTACTTGAGCCACCATCTGCCACTTCCCAGAGTATTAGCAGGAAGCTGGAATCAGCAGTGGAGCTGGGACCTGAGTCAGTCACTCTGGTCTGGGATGTGGGCATCCCAAGTACAGTCTTATCTGCTGCCCCAGATGCCCACGCTCCATCTCTCTCTTTTCTTTTTTCTTAAGATGTATTTATTTATTTGGAACGCAGTAAAAGAGAGATGGGGGGGCGGGGTCTTGCATTCACTGGTTCACTCCCCAAATGGCTGCAAAGACTAGAGCTGTGGTTATCCGAAGCCAGGAGTCAGGAGGTTCTTCCAGGTCTCCCACGCAGGTGCAGGGGCCCAAACACTTGGGCCATCTTCTACTGCTTTCCCAGAGTTATCAGAGAGCTGGATCGGAAGTGGAGCGGCTGGGTCTCAAACCAGCACCCATATGGGATGCCGGCACTGCAGGTGGCGGCTTTACCCACTACACCACAGCCCCTCAATCTCTTTTCATTTATCATTCTTTACTGTCTGAGATCCTGTCTATTATGCTCACTAATCTTTTCATTACCTGCCTCCCACAGTGGAGAGGAAGCCCTCTGAGGACAGGGATGCGGGCCCCATCGTTTGCGCTCCGTCCTCGGAGCCTGCAGGAGCACTGGCTACAGAG